TCCTTGTTATCATAATGCAGTCTATAGAGTATGATAAAATGGTTGCATCTAATTTAAAGGATCTCTGGCAATGTACATTTTTCATATAACATGAAAACTGTAAGAATTTGTAAATCACTTTAGGGTTATTATTACATATTACATTACATTACAAAAACAATATTAAGCCATATTAAGAAATTAACTGCAGTGCATAAATTCTGGTTGATGAGGAGATAAATTAACAAAGTCACATTACCTCATTGCATACTGTCAAACCAAAACACCTTTAACACAAATGTGCATTTTATGTGTTTTCTCATACTTTATATATATATATTTTTTGCATATCAGAAGTTTTTACATTCATTTTCATACATTTAAAATATTTTTCGAGAAGTAGCATTGTATAACGTTGTAGTGTTTCACAATGTTGTCTGGGTACTTAATCAATTACATACATTTTCACTAGTCAAAAGCTGTGAATGATTTCAAAAATAGTGTTGCCCTTCTGCCCATCACTGAAAGTTGAATAAAAATAGATTGTAACTGCATGGCAATAATGCACATTAATTCATCTCAATTCTGATTGAACTAAACTGTAAAATTTCATTTTTTCTGGAATGTGATTAAGTATTCTGGGTAAGCTTGCACATCATTGAAGACCACAAACATGGATGGGTTTTTAGTTTTATCTGTCACACTGTCATAAAGATGAACACCTTTTGAACTCCTTTTTGGAGGAGTACGAAGGCCTTTTTTTCCTTTAGTGAATTCACCAACAAGCACTTTGGCGAGGTACATGCGTTTGTGTCCGTTAGCATCAGCTTTACAGTAGCCTTTTGCTGAGTAACACGGGTCCACAGCAAAATATGTACCATTCCCATACATGGCTCCTAATAACAGAAAAAAATAATCCTAAATACAAACACAACACTTTTTATTCGGAAAAGATTATGGTATATGTTAACTATACCATTCATGCCAGCAAAGCTGCGATTGAACCCCTGATTGTTTATCTGATCGGTCGTATGAGGGCCAGTTCCATGGAAGAGACACTTTTCATTGTTTTTGTGCTTGTTTTTGTCTTCCAGTTCCTCCTTTTTGATCATGTAGTTTCTCCAAAGTGCGCAGTTCTGGACTCGTTCAATCTGTGCAGAACACAAAAATAAACATTCTGCTTAAGCAATCATTACATGACGGTACAAAATTACTGTGATTAGTTGTATAAGTTTGGGTCAAATACATGTAATAGACGTACTTTAATGATGTTGCTGGATAGTCCAGTTTTTCTGAACTCTTTTTCCACATCTGTAAATTCCTGTGAGCCTGCTTTGAGTTCTATAAGAACAACTGACTGTCCTTTCATGTCCTCCCAGTTTGAAGGCAAAGAAGCTGAAAAAGTAAAATAAATAAATATTTGTTTTGGTGACCTTTTATTCATAACTACGATGTTTCATGTGCATTTGTATTTCTCACCTTTCAGTTGTACTCTCTTTAGTTCAATTCGTTTTCCTCCTCTTGTGGCCACTTTGTAAACTATGTTTGCATTATACACTTCACTGTTAATCTTGATTTGCACAGAAGTCGTTTGGGAGATGAAGGCTTCTTCCAAGTCGCAGTTGGTGAAAGGATCAAATGGTTTAAATTTGCGACCACTTTGATATTGCCATTCAACTGTACTGCTGGTCAATATTGCCACCCTTTTTCGGTTTTCAATCCTTTCCACTTTGTGGATAATGTCCTGAATACGACTTTCTGCAGTGTAAACGAATGCTGTCAGGCCCTTCAATGTGATGAAGGAGTCTTGTTCTTTCTTCTCAATTATGACATTTACTTTGAGCTCCTTTTCCATTTTCCTTAGCATTTTTAATTCCTTTTTGGTGAAATGAGCAATGACTGGATCACAGATTGTTTTATTCATTTGCTCCTTGTTAATCAAGCCGTTGATGATGGGACTGGCCTTACTCAAACACTCTGTTGTCTCACTACATAGTTGAAACACAGCAGGCTCGATTTCTTTAAACAACATTTTTTCACCTTTTGTTCAAAACAAATAAATAAATAAAAGGTTAAAAGTATAATTTAGTCAGACACAAGTATAATTTTTTTTTCATATTCCTTTTTTATTTACTGACCTTTAATCCTGCTAGTCAAGCTTTTCTTTGACTTCGTAGTTTTTAGCATGCTTTGCTGAAAGTCAGCCAACATACTTGACTGGAATATAAGGAACTCCACATTTTTTACATGATCTGTTTTTTTGCTTGCAAATTCTACAACTGCACTGATCATTGCATCTGCAACATCAGCTGGATTAGCTCCACCTTGACCTTAAGGATCAATTTTTAAAAAAATGTAGTGATTTAAATTTCTCACACTGAAACAGGGATTTAAATTATATGAAATATTAATTACAGCAAGATGTCAACAAGCACAACAATTTAGCTAGGTAACTACGCACATGCACACTGGTGGTTTTATCATAAAAAAGCATCACCTGTGCCTAGAGCCGGTAAGGCAACAGAGGAAAATTTCAGATTCTCACATAGCATCAGAACAGACAAAACCTTTTGCTGAATATCAGCTGGACTACTACATCCAACAATGTGTATGATTTCTTTACATGGTAGATTGCCAGATGAGGTCACAATCTCTGTTTCCTGATCATTTGCTTTTCTAGCTGTGGAAAAATGCACATACTAATGATCAAAGGTTTAATAGACCTCTCTTAAACTATTTATCAAAACATTAAAAGTTTGTAAATTAGACAAATGGTTGACACACCCATTTTTGATAATTCCTTTTCTACTTGTAATCCAGCACCATCTAAAATTGCCTTGGATACCCCTAGATAGCAAAGAGACATTGGCAGTTGCATTAGTTTCTCAGTAAAAGCATGATTATAATGAATTTTAATTCAAAGTAAATTCTCAATTGAACTTAAAGGGGTCATATGACGTTGCTAAAAAGAACATTATGTTGTGTATTTGGTGAAATACAATGTTTATGCGGTTTAAGGTTCAAAAAACATTATTTTCCACATAATGTACATTATTGTTGCTCCTCTGCACTCTTAAAAATAAAGGTGCTTCACGATGCCATAGAAGAACCTTTTTGTCTAAATGGTTCCATAAAGAACCTTTAACATCTGAAGAACCTTTCTGTTTCACAAAAGGTTCTTTGTGGCGAAAGAAGGTTCTTCAGATTACAAAAAGGTAAGAAAGAGATGGTTCTTTAAAGAACCTTTGACTGAGTGGTTCTTTGTGGAACCAAAAATGGTTCTTCTATGGCATCGCTTGAAGAACCTTTTGAAGCACCTTTATTTTTAAACTTTCTGAAATGTGTCGATTTTTACAAAGCTTATCATTCTGAAAAGCGAAGTGTGCTCTGATTGGCCAGCTATCCAGTGCTTTGTGATTGGCTGAATACCTCAAGCGTGTGACGGAAATGTTACGCCCCTTACCATACTGTGATGCCGTGTCCCGGCACGACCAGACAACACCAAGAAAATCCATTACAAACGAGGCATTTATTGCATCCAGTGGGGACATAATTACGGATTATAATGATTTATACTGTCTTTTTATGCATTGCGCTGCGTATCGTGCCGTGTAAACATAAAACCATGTCTGCATTTGTGATCGGAGAAATGACAAACAAGCGCTACTCTACACTGCTCAAAACTCGCGTTTGAATTGTCAGTGGCAAATACTTTAACTTTTAAAAAACATACTTACAGGCTGTGAGTCAGAAGCGCTAGACTGTCCTTGCAAAGTTGGAGCTGCCCCACTTTATAGAAACAGCCTTTGTGCACAGACGCATTTCTAGGCTACTCTGCAGGTTCAGGAAACAGTCCTTCATAAAATGCGCAGCACACATCTGAATATTTGGGTTGAACTGTTCTGGAACAGTGTTGTAAATACAATTTAACCACTGATTTCTAGTTGTGTCCTCTTTTGGAAGGCCAAACAAAGTAATTTCACAACGAAACACACAGCGTCACACACGGCTGGCTTGAGTGAGGAACGGCCAGTGGGCTAGAGTGAGCGGCGGCCGGCGGGCTTGAGAACGGCGTGGCCGGCGTATTCGACGAAGGAGGCTTGCGGCAACCACATGTGACGACCCCGGGCTGAACTCCGCTTCATCCACGGTGAAAGCCGATCCGGTGATCCACAATGCGAAGTTGATGTATTTCCTCAGCGACCAGCACGGATCAGCTCTAGGCATGACAAAACGGATATCGTCTTCTTTTGAAAGGCCAAACAAAGTAGTTTCGCTTTCACAATGAAACACACAGCGTCTCCACGACATGGTGACAACAAAACTGCAGCGAGAATAAAAGTTAAGCCTTCTTTCTTTGCGTGAACATTTGGGCGGCGTTATGCAAATCTTCCCACATAGTGATGTAGACATGTGGGGGTGTTTAAACGAGGCGTTTTAGGAGGGCATGGACGAGTCTTAACTTTTATAAAGAATATCTCTTTGGGTTTGAGACTTTAGTCTTTTCAACTTTAGGGATCTTATCTATGCACGAACAGCTTGTAACACTCCAAAGAGAAAGGAAAATTTTAAATTGCATCATATGACCCCTTTAAATGAGTTGAAATGAATATATGAAGTTGGTTTAACCTGATTTTAAAGAAAATGTCTTATTTGAGGAGTTGACAATTGCATCTGTTTTTTCTTTGGTTATGTCCCCTGATGAAACTTTCAGAGTCAGATGACCTATTTGCATAGTGTACACCTTAAAACAGGAACTGGAGACTTTACTCTTTGACTCTAAATATAAAGCAACAAAGATAGGTCTCAGTTTTTTTCTTTCCCAATACTGCCAAAACATCTGGTTTTACAGTTTTAATGATTTGTATTTTTGTGTAGTCAGCATGTGTACCTTGAGAAATATCATCCTTCTCCTCTTCCAGCATGTCATCTTCCTGGAGCACTGCCACAAATCAATTTTCCCTCGCAAACATTGAGAGTTTCATTTTACCCTGCTCCATGAAGTACTTCTTTGCTCCTGCCTTTTTAATGATCAATGTGTCTGTGTAGAGACCATCTGCCAAACTTTTAAAGAACGTCACAGCCGGCTGGACAAATGTATGCTCTCCAGATAGTTTGATCCAGGGTTTCTTTGGGTCAAAACTCACTTTCACCTCATCAGACTTTGTAAAATGCTGCCAGTCTTGGGATTTTCTGTTTTTTATTAATTCAGCCACTGCATGTGATTTGACATGAACATTTTCTTCAATTGTGGTTTGTGATTTGTTGCTTTTTTTCAATCTGTTTAAAATTTTACAAAATATTAATTAGTTGAAACAAGACCACTGACAGAAATGTTACCAAAAAAAAAAAAATTTGCAATCTGGTTTTCTCACTGATAAGATGTTTAACTGTAACCATGGGCACAACAGTGCGCCTCAAGCTATCAGATTCATGGGGAAGTCGTAGCCTAATGGTTAGAGAGTCGGACTCGTAACTCAAAGGTTGTGATTTCGAGTCTCAGGTCCGGCAGGTGGGGGGAGTGAATGTACAGCACTCTCTTCCACCTTCAATACCACGACTGAAGTGCCCTTGAGCAAGGCACCGAACCCCCAACTGCTCCCCGGGTGCTGCAGCATAAATGGCTGCCCACTGCTCCGGGTGTGTGTTCATGGTGTGTGTGTGTTCACTGCTGTGTGTGTGCACTTAGGATGGGATAAATGCAGAGCACTAATTCCTAGTATGGGTAACCATACTTGGCCACATGTCACATCACTTTCATCGTCTTCACTTTCATCTGCACAGTACAGCGGAGCCAAACTCATGTAATTACCAAAACAATGTTCCCCTACAAGCTTCTATGCTTCACCAAAAGTTACATAGTGTAGCTTTAAAAGATTTGTGCAAATCACCAAATAATTCACAAACCTAATTACTCTAGTTCGTGTTCACTGCCACTGAGTGAGCAGACCTGGAATGTGTTTCCCAGACAATGACATAACTAACTCCTAAGTGCAATGCATCATTGGAAAAATTAAAAATCATGGTATATATACAGTGGGTATGGAAAGTATTCAGACCCCCTTAAATGTTTCACTCTTTGTTATATTGCAGCTATTTGCTAAAATCATTTAAGTTAATTTTTTTTCCACATTAATGTACACACAGCACCCCATATTGACAGAAAAACACAATTGTTGACATTTTTGCAGATTTATTAAAAAAGAAAAACTGAAGTATCACATGGTCCTAAGTATTCAGACCCTTTGCTGTGACACTCATATATTTAACTCAGGTGCTGTCCATTTCTTCCGATCATCCTTGAGATGGTTCTACACCTTCATTTGAGTCCAGCTGTGTTTGATTATACTGATTGGACTTGATTAGGAAAGCCACACACCTGTCTATATAAGACCTTACAGCGCACAGTGCATGTCAGAGCAAATGAGAATCATGAGGTCATTGCTTGAAAAAGAATGTTTAAAGGAAAAAATTAAAGATATTATTGAAAAATATAGAACAATTGCAGATTTAGAAAAATCATATGGAAAGTATTGGGAATTAATGAAGTTTGATATTAGAACGGCATTTATTAATCAAGGAAAATTGGAAACAAAAAATAAAAATGTTACGGAAAAATCGATTATTGAGGATATTTTTAATTTGTGTAAAAAGAAAAAGGAATCTTTGACTGATTATGAGTTACAAAAATTAGATTTATTGCAAATTGAATTAGATAAGATCTATGAGGATAAAGCAAGAGGAGCTTTTATTAGAACTAGACTTAAATGGTTAGAAAAAGGGGAAAAAAATACAAAATATTTTTTTGGCCTCGAAAAAAGAAACTGATTTTGCCTCAATTTCGAAATTAGTGAT